AATGTATAGGATATAGTTTGTATGATATCCCGAAAGAAACTTTATAGTCATTTAACACCAATATCCAATAAATTATTCGTAACGTGAAATTTTACGAAAACAACAGTTTTTTTCAAAAATTGCTAATAGCTCAAAATTTTGCTTATTAAATCACCTGCGCAAAATTTTACTATATGATATGATTTCCTAACCCTAAATATATGGTTTTTTCCTTTTATTTATATGTTGTCTTCGATTGTTTTGATTTTTAGATATCAGACCGGATGCTTCGGAAGTCACATGACCCGACACTTCGTTTTCACCATGGGCTAGGGTACTAATTCTATTCGTATGTACGTCATAGGCAGAAATTCGTCTGATTGGCTAATGCAAATCAATTGCTCGGGTAACTTATTTATATGATTTAGAGTACTTTTTGAGAACGCAACATTACACAAGTAACCATTCTTAACAAACATCATCTTTAGCTTCGAAGAGGTACTAGAAAGCTAGCTTTAAAAATAATCTCTAATTTAAAAGGAATTGGCATTGACACGACTTTCTGCAAGAGGTAAAGAAAAGATGCTACGTCTAAATTTTAAAATGACAAAAACAAAAGTATATAGTTATTAATTAAGCAATTGCTTCTTTTTTTAAAGCTTGAGATTTCAAGTTAGGTTTTGAAGCAAGGCAAACTTGTTCGCATGAGAGATTTATGCTTTATATTTAAGATATTCTTAAGTTGACTTGGTTTGTTAAAACGTAAGAGTTTTATTAACTATAAATATCAATCTGGGTTTATAGATGTAGGGTTAGTGATTCAAGCCTTGTTTTACCACTTTGACTCTATTTTATATTCGTCTATCTATCTTTTATGCGTATATAAACCAATAAATCATACGTATTTATCGATTTATATATAAATTTTTTTCTTGAAGTTTTCGTTTAATATTATAAAATAACGAATTGCAAATTGTGTGATTTGATTGGCTAATAATCACAGGTAGATCTACAATTAATCTACGAATCTAGCCAATTAGACAAATTTTTGCCTGAGTACGTACATACCATACTGATCTTCTGTAATCCCAACACACTGTTATTTATATAATAAAAGGAATGGTACATGACAAATGGCGCCACTTAATCGTATGATTCAATCATATGAGTTACGTAATAAGCTATGACGCATATGACGTAATTATTATGACTTTTTTTTCGTTATAAATAAAACCAGTTGATATATTTTTTTTAAATTAAAAAATTTCAAGTTGAAACATTTATAAAAAAAAAAATGACAATAATTTATACAACTCATAGAAGAGCTGTCGAAACAGCTCTTCCACAAAGTATTTATTTGGGTTTAGAAGTGGATTATAACCAAGAAACTGACGAAGCTGAGTATTCAATTTGCACACATGATGGCTGTTATTCTATCGATTTTGAAGTTTCATCAATTGATGTTTCGGATATCTCGAAAAGAGAAAGTCACAAAAATGTAGAATATGTTGAAAAAATTTCTAGAATAATTCTTGAGAAAATTCGCGCTTATGCAAAATCTCAGAACTATAAAGTTCATGCTATTGGACTTGGCGCTCATATAAAAATTAAAGAACCGGCAGGCAAAGTAAATGGAAAGAAAGTTAAAACATTGTTGTTTGAAGCACCAAGCTTGGCATCCAGATTGTGGTTAGAATGTGATATTCTGCCATTTATTATTGGTACAAAAGGAAAAAGCGTTGATGAACGAGCTAGTTCAGCAATTAGAAAAGCTGTTATTTGGTAATTAAATAAATGCAACTTTCGCTTTATGCAAAATAAATTTCACTGATCAACTGGCATTATCGTAGGTTAAGTCCGCAAATGCCAGGTTCAATTCCAAGGATTTCCGTTGGATACAGACATGAAGTTGAAGTCGACTTAAACGGAATGATTAAATTAGTGGATCTAGCACATTATGAAAATACTGTGTGCCCTGAAACTTGGAATATTTTATTAAAAATTGTTGATCAATTAAAAACTAAAAAAGTTAAAGCCTCATTTTTTAATGCGACACCTCAAGGTGGTGGGGGTAATATATATATATATTTTTTTAAAAAAATGGGTTAATATTTAAAATTGGATAAGATACATGTTTTTTTTTTTGATTTAGTTGCTCTTATGCGTCATGCGCTTATTCGTCTTTGTCGTCTCTTAAAACTGGATATCCATTGGTTTGTAGCCAAGCCAAGGCCTGAAATTTTCGATATTACAAAGAGGAAATTTCACAACATTTTGCAGGTATATTTTCTAATTGCAACATGATGTTACATACCTTATTTGTAGCATCTTAGCCAATAAAAGTAAACAAAAATTCGGGTAACCCAAACCCTAACCCTAAATTCCATTGGCTAACTACATGAGTGTTATATGTAACAGCTGTTACGAATACATTTTTTCATATTTTATAACTATTAAACAGATATTTCTTAGCATAACAAAAAAATTGTTTCACACGTGATACAGGGCGTAGGACCTTCTGACGCGCGTTTGACACAGGAGGAAAAAGATGCATTTATAGCTTGGTCAAATGACAATGTTGAACATTTCTGGTGCGATGAAGATGGTCCAATTAGAACAAGTGACGTTATTATTATTGACGATCCGCAAGGTAAAACTTAAAATTCGCAACTATTTAAGTCTTAAATATAACCTTTTTTTTGTTATATTTTATATTCAGTGTGTGGTATTATTCCACATATTAAGAAATTAAACCCAACTTGTAAAATTATTTATCGTAGTCATATAGAAAGTAAGTGCATAATAGTTCGCGATTTATATGCTTCGCAATCGAAATAATAATATGATTGCTTATAGGTAGTATTCCTAATATATTTGCATGATTCACAACATAGTTTGCGCTGATCTTATTAGAAATGACCCTACTGGCCCCCAAGCGGAAGTTTGGGATTTTCTCTGGGGGTTTATCTCGCAAGCTGATCTTTTTATATCTCATCCTATAGAAAATTTTGTGCCAGATAATGTTCCTCGGGAAAAAGTGCGCTGTTTTTCGATTATTATTAATTGTGGTAGCTTATGCTGAAATTTAGGGTCCCCATTTAAATCTATAATACCTACTAAAATTCATATATACTCTTCTTTTTATTAATAATAATCTTAAATCCTAACTTAACAAAAGGCTCCAAAAAATTTAAAATTTTCATAAACTAGATTAAAAGTTTCAGCATCAACTGCCACATTAATTAATGAATCATCTAAATAATGGATTGTTCTTTAATACTAGGTTGTCCTTCTTCCGGCGTCTACAGATCCATTAGATGGGTTGAACAAAGGTTTGAGTCAATCGGATCTGAATTATTATAAATTAGTTTATAACAGATTGTCTATCGACCAATGTGGTGTTGCGATTGATTTCAATAGACCTTATATTGTTCAAATTGCGAGATTTGATCCTAGTAAAGGTATATTTAATTATGTATACAGTACAACCTGGATATAGTACACTAGCTATAATCTCAATTGTATAAAGTTAAAAAATTATCTTTGTTAAGCTAGTGGGTGTTATTATAGCCAGGTTGATTATGATTAATATATAATTTAACATATTGAATAATTAAATGAGTAATAACTTCATTGTAGGTATTCCACTTTTACTTGAATCATTCAAGATTTTCCGTGACAAACTTAAAAAGGAGGGCTGGACCTCTGAAAAGATGCCATCACTAATAATTTGTGGAGCTAGTAGCATTGATGATCCGGATGGTGGTCCAATTTATAACCAAACTTGCTCGATATTACAGGGATCGGATTATGCTGACGTTGCGGATGACGTTTCTGTTGTTCGTCTTCCAGCGTGTGATCAGATATTTAATACCATGTTAAGGTGTGCTCATGTCGCGTTACAGCTTAGTACGAGGGAAGGATTTGAGATTAAAGTTACGGAAGCCTTGGCTAAAGGTATTTATACATATTTTACTGTAGTTCTATTTGGCATTTTATTCACAGTATATATATATATTTAAATTATTTGTAGGTGTTCCAGTAATAGCATTTAGAGCAGGTATGAAATCGCATTTTAGTTGTTGATTTATATTTTATAATATTTACATTTTTTTTTTTTCATCTATTAAGGCGGTATTCCACTTCAAATCAAGCATGAAGAAACTGGATTTCTTGCTAACATTGGTGATACAGCTCAAGTTGCAGATTATTTATTTACTTTATTTACAAATGATGAGTTATATCAAAATATGTCATTGTTAGCAAAATCAACAGTAAATGAACAATATTTTACAGTTTTTCAAACATTGAATTGGTTATACTTGATTGACCAATTTGCATCAATAAGAAAGAAACCCGATAATTCTAAAGCACTGGTAGGAAATTCTAAATGGGTTAAGGAACTTTGGTCAGAACAATATAGATTTTCGCCTTCAGTAAAATTGTAAAAATTTATACCAAATTTATATTTGAATTTGGTGATAAACTTTATTTTATAAAAAATTGTTTATTGTATTTTTAAAAATTAAAGGTTTGGTGTAATTTATTAGGGTTATTTATTATTTTTACACAATTAATATAGGTTTAAAATTATTATTTGATTGAATATATTTAAATATAAAAAAAATTAAATAAATACGTATTAAAATTATTTTTTCATTAAAATTTTATAATAATGTTAAGTATGGTTTTTTATTTAATAAATGTTTTAATTATAAATATACTTAAAAATAACCTGTGGCGAGATCCAAATTTTAGTTAAATTTTTTAGAGGGTTTAAACATTTTTTGTTTAGTGTCTTAAATTTTTTATCTAGTAGGTTTGAGATATAGAATCCCGGTGATGGTTACTACTGATATAATAAAAAGTAGCACTTTTTTAAAGATTAAATATACTTAGCTGTATTCATTTATATAAATAATCCAACGGTCATCTATATACTGTATAAGTCCAATAATTTTACTATAACAAACTTAAGAGAAAAATTTAATTTCATATAAAGTTAATCATCTGAAAACTTTTTCATTTTCTGGTTTTATACTCTTCCAATTTCAAATATCTTATAAAATCTCAGTTTTAATACTAATCAGGAATTTTCATATATTCTATTAGTTTGTTAACATTTAATCTCAAGGTTTATTACGTTTATTCGTGAAGTGATGAGTTTTCAATTGTATATACTATTCGAGTACTTTTACGTGATGATTAGTAAATTCTTGACCAAAAAAAAATTGCTTTCGATTCTATCCGTTTCATATATAGTAGAGTTATAATTGTTCACGATCAGTTGTAATCAATTTTCTAAATTTTTTGAAATGATTTTTTCTTTTTGAACTATTGATTAAAAGTTGCTTGGAATTAAATTTTGTTCATGCTCTCAAAAAAAATATTTTCATTGAAATCCAAAATTTTCAAAATTAATCATCAGTTATAATCAACTATAATTGATAACAAATTTTAATTTCTAAGTTTTAAAAAAGTATTTTGGTTTTTTTTTTTTGCTTTCATGATAGTATAAATAGTATTTAATTCTGATCAACTTTCATTAATAGTTCAAAATTTACTAAATTGATTCTAATCGATAACTGGTCATAACTGACTGAACTCATTCCTAATCTGTAAAGAATATCTTGCAAATTTTAAATACATTTAATCTATTCATCAAGTTACTTATTACGATTGTTTTTGGGAACCGGGATTCATATATATGTGGCATTGCCAATTCAATGTGACAATTCTGAACGCAATCCATTACATATGTGCAATGCAAGACTAAGTTCAAGTTGATAACCATCAAAAGGTTTTGACCAGTTGACATCTTAGTCATGATGACATCAATACTATAAATATTAGAAGTTGGTATGAATAGCATTTTTTCTAAGACCTCCGGTGCAATATAAGGTAATGGCCTGTTATTTCATAATTAGAATATAGTAATTAAAGATGTAAATATTTCGAATCTTGAGAGGTAGCTACCTTCGGTACACTACTATGACAATATAGCACATTTTTTATATAAGTAGAAGTGCCATATATCATATAAGCACCATATGTCGTATAAGTGTTGTATGTTATATAAGTGCTCTATATTATATTTTTATGGGCAGAAATTTATCTAGTTGGTGTGAGTACTGACCAATCAAATTGCATAGCTTTATAATATCGAATTGTTATATTAATAAAACCATTAAAATGTTTTTTTTTTTTTTATTTAGTTCAAAACGTCATTGTTAAATCAATTTTTTTAGAGATTATTAGAGATTATTTTTAACAATACCTTTCTAGCATCTCTTCAAAGTTAAAGATGATATTTGTTAAGTTACTTAAGCAATTGATTTGTATCTTGAGTTTGTTAGATTTGATTTTAATCTTTCATGATATATTACAGCAATATAACCTTAAGATAGTATAACTTTTGTGTTATAGTTATAATGTTGTAAGTAGTGATTACTCTAATAAATGTTTGCATCCTTAATAGTAATCAATATCAAGACCTTGACACTATTCTTGAGACAGTCAATAAATATCAGAAAACCTCGGAAACATGATCGAAAGGGCTGGAATTAACAAATTTTGCCTAAGATCACTAAAAAGTTTTATATACTAATGCCCAGCTGATAATTTTGACTCAGAAATGGTTTACTTGTATTGCTAAATGTCGGCCTAAATCCGATGGATCCGACTCAGAAATTTTGGAATCCTCCTGTAAAAATTCACCAGGGGTGCCTCAATTATCATCTGAGGTAAAAATCGATTTAAGGAATACACCCTAATCTAACCCTAATTTAACTAAGAAATTCCAAATTCATTTAATTCCATTCCTACTTATGACATATATAAGTAAGATTGCCTTCCCGACATTTTTCATTAACCTATCCAAAGTAGGTTCAGACCACCGTTTTTTATACTTTGTAAGTTTTTAGGTTTACAATATATTGTTTTATTAATATATATATATATTATATATATAGATTGAAATTATATACGTTAATATTATATATACTAAATATAAAAGTTTTGTTTCTACATATATATTTTATTATATATTGATATAGTATGTAATTAGTTTTAAAATAGAAGTGTTTTACGTATTAGAGAATTTTATATATTGTAATATGTATGCTTATTTAACTATTTAACAATAATTTAACGCATGCATATCCGATACGTGTAGATACCTGTATAAAAAAAAAATTATATATAAATTTTTAACTATTTTAGTAATGTTTGATATATTTAAAATCAATGATTAACGTTAAAGTAGACGCCATTACAATTCATATATAAAAAAAAAGGCATTTCATAATCGATACATACTTAATGATATCAATTATTGAAATTTGATAAAATTATTTGATAAAATTTTTACCACCCCGACAAATCGTGTGACTACGTATTCAAATTATGATGATTATTTAGCCAATTTTTTTGATTACAACTATAATTGTCAAGGTTAGTTTAATACGTATTATATAATAGTGCCTGCGGTGACAAATAATATGCAGATACGTACCTACATACGTACGTACGTACGTAAAAAAATTTAGAACATCTTAATTGAGATCTTAAATTCGTATTTACGAATTTTTACCAAAAAAAAACAACTAAATCAAATAAAGAAACATGAATATTGTCAGATTTATAATAAAGTTTTATTGCATAAAAATTTTGTCAGATTTATAATAAGGTTTCATTGCATTAAATATTAAATAAATTTACGTATAATGATAAAATTACATTGCATAATATAAGAAGTGTGTCTATGTTATAGAAGTAATACACAAATTCCATGATGACAGTATGTGGTATGTATAACACGGAACATTCACACACAGAGCATTTACACGGAGCATTCACACGGAGTATTTACACCAAACATTTACATAGAGCATTTTCATAGAGGATTTACGTACATAGAGCATTTACATACGTAGAACATTTACGTACGTAGAACATTTACATACATAGAGCATTTACATACATAAAAGCATTTACATAGGCAATAGAACATCATAGATATCATAGAGATCATAGAGATCAGATAATAGCATAGCATAGAAATAGAAATAACGCAGAAAAATAATGATAAATTGTAAGAATTGATACAAGTAATTTTTAGAAAAAATCAAACAGAAACATTCGAGTAAAAGAACAGACTATTTAATGTGGAGGAAACCGGATAGATAATTTCCCGTAAATTAATAATGAATTGACAATAAGACGCAGTTAAGATTTGCATTGTTCATATAAATAAGTTCTGCGCCATATTGTATAATTTTCGAGGGATATTATCTAAATTGGGGAGTGAACCTGATTTTGATTAAACTTGGGAATTACCATAAAATTTAGTTCCGAGCTTAACGTTAATGCATGTGCCCATCATTTTGGCATTTATATAAAACCTAAACTTAGAAAAATTACCATTTTAAAAAAATAGCTTTAAAGTTTCGGTGTCATGGGTATGAAACATTGAAACATATGTGTGGGAAAAAAAAATATAAATGAATAATACATAATTGAAATCGGGATGATTCCGATTTCTAAAAAAAAAAAAAAGAATGTACGTAAGCTCGTACGTACGTACGTATGTATATATGTACGTATGTATGTATATACGTACTTATCAGTTATGTATTGTGACATATTTATGAGAAACGAAATTCACTTCTATAAAGTTTAACCAATGATGATCTTTTTTTCGGTGATATGAAATATATTATTGATACTAAAAATTGATGGTAAATTAAAATTTAAAAAAATAGAAATATATATATATATATTAATAACACGATTTTAATTTATTTAAACGCGAAATAATCAAGAATTTAATCAGGAGTTTTAGTGATATTGTGTTATATATTCATGATTTATAAAATGTTTTTGAAATCAATAGTGATAGTCAAATGACATGCAATCAAATGATTTAAATAAATGTTAATAAACAACGGTAAAATAACATGCCGAGCATTCGAGGATCAGTTAAGATCAATTTGAATATAATATACTGTAAATCAGCATCAGTCATTGATAATTGGTAGCTTAATGTAAATTAATGTGATTTAATGTAAATTAATTATCAGTAAAAGTAATCATGCAGAATGATTGAGAACATTTATTGTGTTCATGAGATTTTTTCATAAGAACTAAAATTACGTCCCTTGACAAAACAATTATGAGACGGAAAGCACCTTTTTCGGATTATATTAATATTACCGCCGAATCACCGGAATCACCGAATCGCCGAATCACCGAATCATTGAATCAAAATCGAATATACATATGTAAGTAAGAGACTATAACGAACTGATCATGATTTAAGATATAAATAAGGATGCGCCAATCGCTTCGTTCGATTACTTTCAATCAATCAATCAATACGTCAAAAACCAATAATCAACCACAAATATTACAAATAATTAAAATTATTTATTCTAAACCGTTTCGGGGGATCGCTTTATTGTTTTCAAGTCAAGTCTCTAAACGCATTTAGGTGATATTCTAAGTTTATCATAATTTATTTGTACTACTAAATAAACGTACCAATTTATGGATTCACAAATTATTGCAGAAAACCAGAGATGAATACATAGTTCTGTTATTGCCTATCATTGTTTATAAAAATATTTAATTTCAATATCACTTTTTTTTAAGTATAGAACGATATTCATTCTGACATTTATGATTCATACCCCTCACGAATGTAACACTACGTTTATCTTTATTAAACTCTATTCACAAATATTCGCCATCGTACGACCTAAGGTACAATTATGCAAAATGTTGGTTGCTAATAATTTATCGTGTTGCAAAGAAGATTTTTACGATAAGTAGAATAAACAGAATAAAGAGCAGAATAAGTAAAATAAGTTGTAATAGAATTATCGGTGTTTTGTCAATTTTTGTTTAGCGTATATTTATGAAGTGTATATATTAAAAAAGTTAATATAATATGCAAAATTAAAACTTTAAACGCTTTTATTCATTCATTGAAATATCTTAATAAGATTGTGTTATTGGCATTTTCTTGACTACCTTAAAATTGTTCCGTCCTTGTCCTAATCATTCTTTTCGGTGTAAATTCGTTCTGTGTAAATTCTGTGTAAAGTTCCGTGTACGCATACATATCACTACGTATAACACTGTTACGCATTATTGTTACACGTGATTATGATGATGCTGATGTCAATCCTATTGTAAAAAGCCTAAATTTAGAATAGCGATTAGCCGACAGTGAAAAATTTTAAAGTATTGATCACGTGATAAACACAACTAATCTAGGATATCTAGGGTCGAAATGTATATTTAAACAAGTTCCCGGAATTGATATATCAAAATCTAATTTGGTTAAGTGTCTGCGATTGGGATGTTCACTTTCTAGAAAGCATAAAATAAAGTTCAACATTTCTGATCAATGCTTACGTAAATGCGTTATCATGAATTCGTTAATTATATCAATATATAATATATATATATATATATGATTTAATAAATGACTTATATGTATGTAATATCGCTAATTAAAAATGTGTATTCGAATTATTCGAAAGCAAGAAATTAACAAGATTAAAATTTAGACAAGCTGGAAATTAACAAGATTAAAATTTAGAAAAGTAAGAAATTAATAAGAGGTAAAATTTAGAAAAGCTGGGAATTTATAAGTGTAAATTTGGTCAAGCAGGAAATTAACAAGATAAGCCAAGACAGGAAACTAAATGAAGTATGTCATTCAATATGATAAAAATAAAATTTGTTCATATTCGGAAAAAGGGTTTCAAGGATCCACTCATCTATTTATTTAATCTATTTATTTAATCTATTTATTTAATCTACTTATTTAATCTATTTATTTAATCTATTTATTTAATCTATTTATTTAATCTATTATTTAATTTATTATTTAATTAATAAAATTATAAAATTATCTACTCAACTATATGTTTCTTTGTTTAAAAATAGGATTTCCCTGCATGCATTCGAATTATGCAGTATCATTATCCTTCCTATGTTAGGTACATACTACTTCGTAGTGCCATTATTATTTATCCTGGAACCTAGCGTTATCAATTTAACAAGGAAATTATCTATTTCCGGATTGACTCTTTTGAATATTACAAATTATTTTCCAACTCTACAATTTACTACGTATTAACTCTTAAAATGATCCGAAAAAAAAAACTAAATGCTATTCAAACTTTATAGGAATTTATAAGGCGATTATTTCCGAATCATTATTTAAATAAAGTTTTCAACTAAACTTTGAAAAAAATACCTTTAAACCTGAAATGATTTCGTGATGTCATATTACTCTTAAAATTACACTTAAATTATACTTATTACATTTATTTTCACTAGATCAGATGATATTCACGTGATAACATAACTTATCGTTATTGACTATTAACTACTTACTACATATACGCACATAAACGTTCAAGAATGGTCATTGGCAGAATATCCATTCTTGATTATATAAAATCATTGATTCAGCCATTTAAACACGTATGTATCACTTGTTACTGTAATTTTTATCACTAAATATGTTTAACACACATACATACAGTACACATATACAGTACACATACAGTATATGTTTAACATACATACATGTAAATGTGTACCACTTAATCTATTTATTTCTACATTATTATCTATTAATATACTACTGAGGCTTTTATTACGTAATGTAGAGTTGATCCATTCAACCGAAATCCCATATCGTCAATTAAATAAAATTCTCGTCCCCCAGGGTTGTCTTTATCCTTAAATTTATTTTTGAAAGCCTATTTATACCTCATGTTTACCCTCTTTTTTGGCATTCGTTTCATTTTCTTGAAGCGTTAAATTCTCAATTATTAGTCCTTTTTTTTTTCTTTCTCTTTTCTTTTTTTTTTTTTGCAGCTGTGGGTTTTTTTTCCTTCCATTAAATTTATTTTATCAGAAACGATAACTGAGCTCGATATCGCTTTATGCAAGTTGCTTATCACGGTAAGAATCTCCACCTGAGTACGGTCGTGTGAAACTTGATAATTATTATAATCACCATTATGTTTATTTAATCTTCGGGATTGCGACATGTGCGTGCATTAAAGAAAGTATAGAAAAAAAAGCAACTTATATTATTTATATATATATATGCTTAAGTTTTCTCTGTTATCTAAAGCATACACATGTTTAGTTATGTTTAGTTAACATATAAAATCGCAATTGTTTCCTTTTCTCTATAAAAATGTTTAGTGTTTTTTTTTTTTTTTTTGTTTTCTTTTACGAAACGTATAACAAAAAATATCGTCGCACGAATAAAAAAAATAGTTACCTATATATATTAATCAAAATCTCCTTTTTTCGTCCCGTACGACCTTTCTTACCAAAATATATAAACATCCAGCTTTAACGGTCGAATTTAATTTTCAAGAAAATCTATTTCTTCTTATAAGCGCGTCGACTTTTACGTCCCATCCTCCGCTTATTTAAGCTTACTGGATATATATATATAAATATTCTTTATATATATATTATTATTATTAATATTTTTAATTCCCTTATACTTTTCATTTTCGGCAGCGTTGGTAGAGGAAAAAAACCCATAGCTTGCTCAAAAAAAAAAAAAAAGAAAAAAAGAAAATAATATATTATATATATACTAAACATATAAAATAATAATAATTATAATAATAATAATCGATATGCCGCAATGTGCCATTAGCTCGGTAAGTTGTTCATGAAACAAGATTAATCTTTCGATAAAAATAAAATATTACTTAAGTATAACTAAAGTATAACTATCGATATATACATATGTATATATATATATACATATATACATATATAAATATATATATATTTTTTTTTGTTTAAAAAAAAAAAATAGTTAGCATTTGCTTCCGGAGCAATTGCAACGGCTGCAGGTGTTGGATATGTTTTCGGTCGTCCAGCCAAGACAAGAAATTCTTCACGATTATCAGTTCATTCAATGTCCACTATCTCAATTTCATCAAAAAGTCCATTTAAAAGATTTAAATTATTTCTTTCAAAACATAAACATCTTTCTCCTACAAAAAATATTTTACAATCAACTACAATACATCCTTTAATGGTTCACCTTGATAATCTTGTAGATGATGATATTTCATCTACTTATTCTGATGTTACAAGTGTATATACTATGGATCGTAAAATAAGTTCTACTCCAAATATACCTGGTGTTTTAGCTCAAGCTTTTGATAGTTCTTCTGCAGTTGCTTCATTCAATCCTAGAGGTGTAGAAACTTTAAAAGAAGAAGAAGAGGAAGATTGGGATACTAATAGTGATGATTTTATTAACCCTCCAAGAGCAAGGTCTTCATTACCTTCTTTACCAATTTCTATAACTCCTCCTCCAAAATTTCGTCATAATCGTTCAAATTCTTTACCTCCAACTGCTTTTTCAAGAAGTTTTTATCGACAACGTATGTATAAAAAAAAAAAAAAATTTTCAAAAAAAAAAAATTTAAATGTGCTTTACTCACATGATTGAATTTTTTTTAATAGCTACTCCAAGTGAAAGTTGGGATGATGATTTTGACTTGGATGATGAAATAAATGTTCCTAATTCTGTTGAACAAGCTCAATTCTCTTTAAGAATGGATATTACCAATATTCGAGATTTCGTTTCTCAAATTGAAGAATTAAAAGTATTACGTAACAAAAAACAATTCCTTGCTTCAACAATTCAATCAAAGATTACTAGGAAATGGTCAAATGGTTTTACTAAATCAAAAAAAAAGAGTAAAAAATATAAAGATTTAGAATCTCGTTTTAAACAAGATTGGGAAGAAGTTGCTGTGATAATTGATCTTTCTGATGTGGCAAAAGATAGGCAACCAACTTTTGATGGTGGAAAAAGAGTTGCCGTTGATATTGAAAAAATCCCTTCCGAACGACATATGCAAGTATTGAAAAATATTATGGTAGAAGAATTAGGTGAAAATGCTAATGACGTGATATTTATGGATGATGATGATGATAAAGAAAATCGTTATGATAGTGATTATTCAGATTCAACTTCTAGTAGTGGTCATAATGTAAAAAAAATAAAATTAACAAATGGTGAAAGTATTATTAATAACGGAAAGTCAAGACGAAAAGAAAATTTTAGAATAAGTGTTGAAGTAATGCCAAGTTTGATTGATCATTTAAAAAAATTACAGGACAGATTATCTGAACATGTAGATAAATTAGGTGCTTTGGCAACTGTTGAGAGAAACCTCTAATCTTCAAAATCTTCAAAATCTTTTATAATTTTATTTGTAATAGTTTTAAATCTTGAACAATGGACAATTTTTTTTTAAAAAAAAAACGATATTGGGTATATATGGGTTTAAATGGGTATAAATGGGTGTAAATTTAGCAATTTAAAAAAAAAATTATTTCTTTATTATAAATAATTTTTGATTTTGTAAATTTTATTCTATTTTTTTTTTTTGTTTTCTTTTGTTTCCTTTTGTTTCCTTTGTTTATATTACCTTTTCCTTCAATACTACCTCTTGGGTTTTATTGGGTTATCTATGTGACTGGCGGGCAATTTAATTCGATATACCTTAACATACCTTAACATACCTTAACATACCTTAACACATATTAACATCTATTAACATCTATTAACATATATATTTATATTATCTAACACCTTAGTATTTATTTAATATACATATATATGATAAGCTTTTAAAACATTCTTTTGAAATTTGAAATTAGACGTTCCCGTAACTTCAACGCGGTTTTAAATTTCCTCTCCTCTCTAAGTAAAGAAATTCCCGTCAACCTTCAAACATTAATTCTTTTTTTTTTTGTAAATCAGGAAAAAAAAACCCACATTTGCTGATTTTTTTTTTTTTTTTTTGTATAATTGTGTTTATCATTACATCCTATATATCATTAACCATCAAATACCGCGTTACTGTTACTTTTATTATTATTCTTGCTTTTCTTTCCTCCCATTTCCATCTGTCTGTCGTAATATATATATATATTTCCTAAACTAATTCCGGTACTGTGTTTTTCTTTGTTTTTTGTTTTTTTTTTGTTTGTAATTTTAAAAAATGAAAAAATTCCCTTTGTATATTTCTATATATTGATATAAAAAAAAATGAAATGTATTGGTATTCGAATGTATCTTGTGTCTTTGATTAAATCCTAAAAGAGTATTGTAATTTTTTCGCTTTGTAAAAAAAATATATATCAACTAGATTATAAGAAAAAAAAAAAAAAGTATTTACCATTACGATTACAGGATTATGGATTATGATTGACACATTTATTTCGTTATTATAAATCATGTGACAAGTGCTATAATACTACGTCAAAGAATTGAAACATGAAGGCATAAATTTTAAGATTAGTGTTAGCTTTAGAGCGTAGTATTAGAATAAACTATCACTTATTTGATATTTAGATTCCCATCATTTTTAATTAATGCATCAAGATCAGTCGGTTAATATCAATTTCCGATGATTTCACTGCTTTTTTTTTCTTTTTTTATTCTTTCGCACATGTTATTATGTTCTTTTGGTTGATCCGGGATAATGAACTCATAGATTTTCTTCTTCCTTTTTTTAGGTGTTTGTATTACTTGAAAAAAATAAGTGATTGTGTAGTGATTTAAATACTGTAAATCTGTTCTAACCATCAAAGTTAAAGTTAACAGTTAACGTTAAAAGTTATAGTTAAAAAAATTGCTAATCCCAAACGTTTTATAAATCATAAAGTACACGAGATGTATTGTACATACATGAAATTTTTTTTCGGTCAAATGAATGGACCCTGTGATGAATTCTTATTGAGTCATTAAAATAATTAAGTCATTTAATACATTTAATACGTATTGAGTCATTTATTATTGTAAAAAAAAAAAAAAAAATTTTTTTTTTTTTTCGCACTCCTAAACGGTTAACATCGAATTTAGGAAGAATGATAACGGATGAGGAATAAGTATCGGGGAGATCTTTATTTCGGTGTTTCGTTATTCCAATCTTTTCTTTTTTGTAAAAGAGAACTCTGATATAATAGGTAATTACACCTATTTTTAAGCTTGATCATATCGTTATTTTTTGGTCGTTTTCAACGTTAATCCGATATCGTAATCTGTCGGTCATACATAAATATGGTAACTATTATTGTTATTATCGTTATTATCGTTATTATATACTGTACGTACGTACGTACGTACAATTATTATTTAGTAGTTACTATAATAGTTACTATAGTAGTAGTTACTACGTATAGTAGTAGTTACTATAATAGTAGTTACTATAGTAGTAGTTACTGTAATAGTTATTGTAATAGTTACTGTAGTTGTACTCTAAAATTCTAATCCACTTAACTTCCGTTTCAAAAACACGTGAGAATAAATATGTTGATACATATTCTTTAAAACGCATATACTGTCTATAACTCCTAAAATCTAGCCCAATCTCAATAAGATAAATATCTACGCATGTATTCACTTTGAATTGATACCCCTTGCAGATTAGCAAGACGGTGGCTGAATTACATGATGTATTATTGCTTTACAACTTTATATTTATCATGATGAAACTTTACAAATACTGTATTCAAAGTTTATTATATACTGTGTATTAATACTTTGTGTATTAAAAGATTCATTTTATAATGTCTTTGTAAAAATATATTTATTTTTAACTTTAAAACAAAAAATTCTTTGTGAATTCATCTTAGTAATTCTTTTTTTTTAAAACTTTAAATAAAAATTCCAAGAACCCTTCTTTGTGATAATTGACTTCTTCTTTGATCGGAATTTTACGGATCGGCCTATCTTCGTCTTTTGGAATCGAACATATTCGTAAAACTCATGTGATACATTCGTATTTTGATTAAATGCATAAACAATAAAATGTCTTTTCCTTGGAATACAAGTGTTTTATTCTTTTTAATTGTATTATCAGTAGAACTTTAATACTCTCAGATATTTTGGCAGTATAATTAGATATATTTTTGCACGTATGACATACATACATATCAGAATATCACGCATATTACATATATACTCATAATATTACGTATTTAGCATGAAGGAGTAAACCGTACACCCGATCATATGAATACAATCCCAATGTCACGTGATACAGAACTTCGTTGAACATTTTAGAATGTTGACTAAAAGATAGTACTTTAAGCATAGAGGTCATCATGACATAATCAAAGTTACTGTACATCCATACGCATGTAGTCACTATGTATGCAGTTGCCAAAGATTCATAAATAAATCATTACCAATTCTTATTATATACTTGTGAACGGGCCATGAGAAATTCTAAACACAAATATATATATATATATATATATATTTGTCACCTAATGGCTAACGACTCTGTGGGTACATCTCTAGTTAAATTTGAATTCTAATATTTCATTAGTTACGTACGTACCAGTAAATTGCTAAAGTAACGAATACGACGCAATACTACGTAAATCTGTAAATCATTAATTAATAGATATTTCCATTTATATGTTACTAATCCACATTTTTCGATACATTTTTGATTCTTTTTGTGTTTTGTAACAATAAAAGAATCTTATGACCATAAACTATGAATTTACTAATCCTTCAAGTTTCTATTGGTTAGTATTATTACTCGTACTAATTTTTATACGCGTCAAATTCCTTGCTAAAATTGTGACATCTCAATTGAAGTTAATGATAGAGTTAGGGGGCGAAAGATTTTATAAAGAAATTTTATTAGTACGTAGAAAATAATTTCCTTGGCATAAGGTGAGAATTTGAGATTAATGCATACGTATGACATTTTTTTTTTAGAATAAAAGTATTGTTTTTTTTTACACCTAATTTTACTTCCTGATTGGCTAAAATCGGTGACTTGGGGGAATTAGTAAAGTACCATAAACTGTTAATTTAATTTAAATGCGTAACATTTAAAAAACTTGTTATCTCTCAAGTTTACTTACAATTTTGGTTGAGTTCCAAAATTAGACTGACTTTAAAAATTAGAACATCTCGATATCGATATACATATATGTATATACTGTATATACTGTATTGTATATACATATATTCGGTACTCAAAGAAACAATCTAATATACTTAAAGTACGTACGCGCATGAATAAATTTCATATATGGGATTTAATTTTTCATTCGGTTTTAAGCATAAATATTTCTCCGTTGAATCATAAAATACGAACGGCGCCCATTAAAAGAGTTACTATTCCTTCAAGAGTATAGTGCATTAAATCCGATAAATGTTAATAATCATTACAATTTCAACCGAGAGAAATATCAAGTTCAATCGGAGGATCATATTATAACCGGATTCTACCTCCCTAAAATTGGGCGTTCACTATCCCCACAACTTTTAATCCCTGGTTCAAAGTACTTTGTGGTCATAAATTGTTTGAATAAAATCTTGGTAGATCAACTTTCATTTATACTTATATACTTAATTCCGTGCAAACTTTAAATTTTAATCTCCCTTTTTTTATTATAACATGTGATATATAAATCTGTTAATATTACTGAATATAACTAAATATAACTAAATATAACTAAATATAACTACATATTAAATACTACGTACTAAATATATATAGATACAAATAATATTTTTATATTATTATTAAGTTTGCCTTGTTTGCCTTTGCTTTGTTATTTGTAAAAACCCATTTACAATTCACTACAGTTAACATGACAATAGTATTCGATGTAAATTCTTTTGGTAACTTTGAATAAACTTTTCGTACTATATTAGCTACTCTTCCACTCGGACACCATATATGTAATATTTGTTTCCATATTCGTACATTTAAAATATTTCGTGTTGATGAATTTATTCCACTTAACTTTTTACTTAATAATCGATATGCGTCATGTTTGGTGTATCTTCGACGGTAGGAGAATGCTCGAGTAACTGAAACTCCTAATGCAAATTGACTTAAATTTCGATTGCTAACAAGGTAATCGGTCATTGGTTGATTCATGAAAAAGTAATCTATTTCCATCTATACATAAATATATCAGATATATATTATTATTATTATCATTATTATTATTATTATTATTTACTATATTTATTATTATTTTTATGTTAAAAGAAATATATTACCTCTGTTTTGTTTAATTCTACACCCAAGATCCTTTCCACAATTTCACAAGAAAGTATTTCTGACAATTCACTCTGTCCTCCTGCATTTGGCAACATACTCATTTTCTTTGCTCCAAATCCCCAATTAATATCTTCAAATAATTTTCTATGTACATCAATATTTAAACTTATAATCACACCTTGATTTTTATCTGTCATACCAATATAAAGATTTGTTAAATCATTTGAGGATGTATAAATTGTCATATCTTCAAAATTCACTGAAAAATAGTCGCCATATTTTAAGGAATTGTTCAAAATAATTGTGTGAAAGGGAATAGATCTTTGTATCTCGTAGAACGGTCGGATAGGTTCCTGGTAAAAATCTGATAATTGAATATAATCGTGATTCGTCAATATTCGAGTATTTTCGTTCTGACTTTCCCTTCTTCTTCTCATCTTGTTTAGACGCCTTATCGATGAAAGAACAAACAACCGATTCTTCCATAGTGTTGGATTCAAAAGTCCAACGAGAAAACCGGTTGTTAGAGTCGGTCATTTTAGAGTTAGTTTTCGTTGTCATTTTTTTTGATTTTTAAAAGTTATGTTAATTTGCCTTTGGAACAAAGAAATTTAAAGTAGTTGATTATTAAAGAAGAGATGTATGATTTTTTTAAATTTTATTTTAAGTTATGTTAATTTGCCTTTTGAATAAAGAAATTTATAGTAACAATTAACGAAGAGATGTATGATTTTTTTTTGATTTTTAAAAATTGTGTTAATTTGCCTTTTGAATAAAGAAATTTTAAAGTAGTAACGATTAAAGAAGAGATGTATGATTTTTCTTTAAACATTCTGTTTTTCACTTTCACTATTTTATAAAAACAATTGTTGACTGCGGCAATTTCTGTAGTTTCACTAAAAATGATATTGTTTGACTCATCATGTGTACAACCTGGTTTTTAATCCGGAGTTCCGGAATTTCGTCGTTATTATTATAATTTTGAATACGTATGGAAATTATTCTCCGATTGTACATACGTACGTATATCGAAAATGTGTACAAGGTTGACGGCGCAGACAAAATTCTTAAAATTCTTTAAAGTTAGGGTTAGTGTTAGGGTTATGGATTGGAACTGTTAAACCGTTTAAAAATTGCTCTATAGTTCCGGGTAGAATTATGTTGGTCATGGGCTGGAATTATTTTAATACCGGCAAAATTAAATGGTTAAACAATTAAAAGATTAAGTAAAATTTTAGGCGGTTTCAATCCCTAATTAGGGTTAGGGTTATGATCTAAAGAGGAGTAGTTCATATAGTAAAATTGGCTAACGAAAACTTGGATATTTGGAATCTTCCTGATCGTATTACGTTACATATAATCTTGAAATCTGATTCGTAGTTCAGGAGAGCTGCGCTGCCAACCTTGTACACATTTTCGGGTATGTTTAATCCTGTGATTTGATATTGATTTCTTGGCAACAACAACGACCGAGTTTGTTTTAAAATTTTATGTTATGAAATCAAAGTATTAAATTTCTGTATAGCCTAATATAAAAACATTTATTATATGTTGTCAATAAAATTTCATGTTTAAATGAATTTATAATTTATCCTACATGCACTAGTGGCACTAGTGTGCTAGTGCTAGGTGCCGCACAAAAAAAAATGTACGGCAAATTCCCGATTTTAATTGACTAATGGTAACGGTTCAACATTTTACTGATGACACCCATTAAGTGAAAAATATTACTGATTCCTGTACTAATTTTACTATTAAAGAGGTCTAAATCTTAAATTTTCTATTTTTGGAATTATAAATTCCGGCCAAATTTTGTATAATGCGGGCCACAATTTTGTCGATCATAGTTATTGGCGCTTGTGTTCCTTACGAGTCGGATCGGGTCGGGTTCTAGAAAAGAACCGAACTAGACCCGAAAAGTCGGATCGGACCTAAAATGAAACCCGAAATCAATTACAACAAACCTGGGAACTGTTAAATAACTTACAGCAATTGCCGAACAGATATTTGCCAGCAAAGATATCATATTTCTATATTCAATCAGAGAATGCGCACGTAGTTTATGATATTTATATTAGCCACTTGATCTTTAGTTGCCGGTGAAGATATTAAATTTCTGTATTCAACCAGAGATACGAGTACGAATTTTTTTCGCATACAGTACGTACATATAGTTGTATAGTGTGTATAGCATACGTAATACGTAGCATTTATAAATCAGTTATATGCAATATTGTGCAAAGAACAATTCTTGTTAGAATGCGAAAGACAGTTTCATAATACTATCATGATTTGTTCTAGAATATTCTAAATTTTTTTTTGCGTACTGTACGCGGCACATAAGAATGTAGTCTTATAATATTTATATTAGCCACTTGATCTTTAATTACATAAATTTGCTGGCAAATATATTAAATTTTTGTATTCAACCAGAGATATGTGCATGTAGTCTCGTGATATTTATATTAGCCACTTGACCTTTAACTACATATACTTATATACTAATTTATTGAATTTATAAAGTCAAAATCATAAATTTAATTAAATCAACTGAAAAATTATTTGGCAAATGTTTTATCAGGTGTTTTAGGAATTATGAAAATAACTGTAATTAAGCAAATTTACAATTTTTTAATTTTTAATATTTAAGATCTGTAACCTTTATTAAATTTAAAAAGCAAATTTTATTAATTATCTAAATTTCTTCATCAGGATCTTAAACATATTATCATTTTTATTGTTTTACCAGATAGTCAATTTCACTTATCAGTTACTATATTATTACTAATACTAAACATTTTTTTGCTTATTTGTTTACTTAGAACATTTGTCACTAAGATGGAAAAACAGTTTTGAGCAAACCTTGCAAGATTTGAGTAACTTGATTTATTTGTTCATTATTCTAGAATATTGGTGCTTAAATCAACTAATGGTAAAAATAGATATGTATCTAGTTTATTCTGTTATCTAACACATAATTATTTGTAAATTTATGATAAGATATTTGTTTTAAATGCTTTTCTAATTGTGTTAACTGTGTCTTGAACAGCACATATTCTATTTTATACTGTAATAGAATTTATTTTTTTTCCTATATTAGTATATATTTATTTTTAGCTCTATATTATATTTTATAAT